CGGATGGCGGCGCAGTCCCTCGATGGCGATGCAGGGCTGGTCTGGCAGGGCGACCTGTCCCGGGGGCCGCAGCTCATGCGTCGCGAAGAGGTCGAGCAGGGTGCGCAGCTCCGGCCCCTTGAGGTCGTGGGGTGGGTGCCTCAGGTGCCACTCCTGGCTGGCGCGCGCGGGCATGAGGCAGGTCCCGCAGTCGCGGCAGAGCAGCACCCCGTGAGTTGCGAGGTAGGAGAAGCTGGCCGCCATCCTTCCCTTGCGCGAGCGGTGTGTGTGCGCTATTCGCCCTTCGTTGCATGCTCTGTATGCGTGCTTGATGCGCCTGCGCCGTCCCGGGGGTCTCCCAATTTGCTGCACAATAATCGCTCCACAATGGCCCGTGCGCGCGCGAGCGACAGGGGTCGCTCGCGTGGGGATTCCCAATTTGCACTACAGATACGGCCGCTTCTAGGGGTAGTCTGCTTGCCCTTTCTTAAGGAAAGGGCAATCCTATTTATGCCAAAGGAGTGTAGTTCTCTTATTTTCCATGACTTTCCATGACTAACCAGGCTTGGTAAATGTATTAGAAATCAAGTGCGACCCACAACTAGCTTGCTAATCATGTAGTGAACGTAAGAGAATCCCATAGAACCATCTCTTGGGTTCCTAGCCTATAGGAAGTGAAAAGGAGGTCCAAGGTCAGAGTACCTATAGACAAATTATGTCATAACTTAACCAATCTTGTGGGTAACTAAGGAGCGATGACGTGTAATGAATCATACAGGGTTGTAGAAGCTTCTAGAGCTATCGTTCATGTTCCTAGGCCTCTAGTTGGTAGAGATATGCCATGTGGTAGTATTGGCCCACCCCCTTAAGGAGGAGATTTTCTTAATAACTTGTTCAATGAGTGTCCAAATGATATGCCGTGATGTATGTAGCATAAACAGATGTAGTAGAAGAGTTTGCAGCAATCGTTGAGTAGTATTGCTTCTGTTGTTGGTGTGATAAGCCAAGATATGTATGGTGACTTGTAGGTTTGAGGAGGAGATTTCTAAGTTTGCTCTTGAGTTTGATAGCAAACTGAGTGCAACGAATGTCAGTATGACAACTGGCGCAGGAAGGCCTGGCGGAGCGGCACGACATAGACCAGGTAGTCCAGCAGGAGGTCTCCGATGGTGGCCGGCAGGAAGCGGATGTTGTCCTTGAACTTGCCCGTCTGCTGCTGGCCCTTGTGGTAGGTCGTGTGCAGCATCACGAGCCCGTGCTTGAGGTAGACGCTGCGCCTCCGCTGCGTGTTGCGCCAGGTGAGGGAGAACAGCTCGCTCTCGCGCAGCGGCTGGCCCGAGGCCATGTGGATGAGGACGAGGAGCCGCTTGAGGAACTCGTCAGCGACGGCCTCGTACTGGTCGATGGCCTTCTGTCGCCACACGACTCTCGCATCAGCCCCTCCATCCTCATCAGTGGTGTCGAGGAGTGATGCTCGGAGTGACTGCGACTCCTGTATAACGTTGCGCAGTGAGCCCGCGAACGGCTTCAGCAGTGCCACGTTCTCCCGGTGCTCGCCAAAGTACCAGCCGAAGTTGTCGGCATCGAGGTTGTCCTTAAGCGCCCAAGCGTGCATCCGTGGCAGGCCTGTTGCGCCAAACATGAGCTCATCGTGCAGCAGCTGCTGCGCCTGCCTGAACTCTGACAGCAGCAGCTGCTGCACCTCGTCCATGTTCAGGTCGACGTCCCTGTAGGTGAGGATCTGCTCGTCCTCGTCCCAATGTGCCTGGTGTGAGCCCACGCCCTCCTTCGACACTGCGAACAGCAGCAGGCGCCAGCCCAGTATCTCGCCCATGGGCGTCTCCATGTCTGGCCGCAGGTACTGCTCGCAGATGGTGTTGATGTGCTCGAGCGTGCTGCCGGCGCCCGACCTCTCGAGGTATGCGGCCGTGCTGAAGACGAGCAGCTGCACGGCCCAGATCAGGCCAGACAGGCAGCTGTTGAAGTTGCCCGGCTCCGTCCACGAGTTGGTGCGCGGCTTGACGCTGAGCATCGCGCAGAAGCTGAGGAGAGGCGAGCTGAAGCGGTCGCCGCTGAACTCGTGGCAGACGAGGGCCATGCAGAGGGACCGGAGGGCGTCGTTCAGGGCTGGGCGGTCTCCATCAGCAGTGCACTGCAGGGCTGCCTCCCAAGCCGCTGTCTGCTCGTCCGTCAGCCGGATCCAGTCCTCGGGGCACCTGCCCTGGTCCGCACTCCCGTCTCCCGTTGCAGCAGGCGTAGGTGGCGTGAAGTGGCTGCCGCAGTATGCCACGCGGTAGCAGTACGTCATGAACTGCTTCCAGTACCCAAAGTTCGTGCGCAGTGTGGAGGGCTCCTTCTTGGGGTCGAAGCCACGTGCCCTGCCTGCCCTGTAGCTGGCTGACGCCGATGATGATGATGCAGGCGCTTCGCGGAAGCGGCTCAGTGCGAGCTGCCTCGGCCATGTCAGCATGCAGTCCGGCCCGTCGAAGCACCAGCCGTGTGCCTCAGCGAGGATCTCGTCCATGACCTCGAGCATCAGCAACAGCTCGGGCTCTCCCTCATCTGCGCTCTTTGGCAGCGTGTAGGAGGCATGCATCTCGTCCTTCTGCAGGCCCCGCACGTGGTTTGCGATGCCCGTCCGCCCCAGCCATGGGACCACGGCCGAGCGGTGGCTGTCGAAGCCGTGCACCCTGCTGGCCTCCGTCTTGATGTCCTCTGCGACCATGTTCGCGTCCTCCTCGGCCAGCTCGAAGAAGTCCTGCTCCTGCGGCTCGAGGGCAATGGCAGCAGTAGGTGCGTCCCCTTCCGCCCTGCCGTCGTCTGTAACCGCGAAGTACCGGACGTGCTGGGTCTCAGCGAAGAAGGTCTGGACAGTGCACCTTCGCCACGACCTGCCCTCGGCCTGCCTGGCCGGCTTCTGCCCGTGCTCCTTGGACACGTGCGCCCTGATAGCTGGCTCCGACCGCGTAAGGCTCAGGCTCTGGCCGTCGACATCGCAGATGGCGCACACGAATGCCGCGTGGCACCGCAGTCCTGGAATGGGTGCGCAGGGCTGATGCGGCAGCTCGACCTCGCCCGGCAGCCGGAGCTCATATGTCGCGAAGAGGTCGAGCTGCGCTCGCAACTGAGAACCCTTCAGTAGGTGTGGTGGCTGCCTGAGGTGCCTCTCCTGGCTAGCGCGCGTGGGCGGGAGGCCGGTCTGGCACTTGGCGCAGAGCAGCACGCCGTGCGCCCGGAGGTAAGGGAACCTGGCAGTAGCTGCCATCACGTACGTCCGATGCTGGGACTTTGGCTGGGTAACAGAATTACTCTACTAAAGAAATACAGAGGTGCGCGCGCGCGCATGGGGACCGGAAAGGGGGGGGGGGGTTTCCCCAATTTGCGAAGGAATATTTGCGAAGGAATGGCCCATGCGCGCCTGCGTGACAGGGATCATTTGCGTGGGGATTCCCAATTTGCGCCAGAGATACGGCCAGTTCTTGAGGTAGGCGTCGTGCCTAGTGGACTCTTGGGAACTCACTCGAGTCCTCGGAGTCCTGGACTCTTAGGACTCTTCTCATCATCCTGCGAGTCCATCACGTGCCTAGTGGACTCCTGGGAACTCACTCGAGTCCTCGGAGTCCTGGACTCTTAGGACTCTTCTCATCATCCTGCGAGTCCGTCACGTGATACTTTCGGAACTACTATTCCCCGCTGCCCCTCCAGGTACCAGGGCCGGTCTCATGCGACCTCCCTCCTTCCTGTCCTGTAGTTGGCCAGCCTTCTTGTTCCGTCGTAACACATAATTTGTCTATAGGGGTACTCTAACCTTGGACCTCCTTTTACTTCCTATAGGCTACAAACCTAAGAGATGGTTCTATGGGATTCTCTTACGTCGACTACAGTTACCAAGCCTGGTAAGTCATGGAAAGTCTTGGAAAATGAGAGAACTACACTCCTTTAGCATAAATAGGATTGCCCTTTCCTTAAGAAAGGGCAAGCAGACAATACAGTAAATCGACTATCACATACTTCCACGTCTTTTCCAAGCTTCCAAGCATTGATCTTGTTACTCCTTGTTTCTGAAAAGTCAGTGAGGTGCTAATCTCTGACTTACCCCTGAGTTCCCAGACTCAACATTTGTTGCAACTTGTCTGAACCACTTCACTACATCACACACCTGATTGCTGCGTTGTGGAATAGTCTAAGCTACGACCCTTTGGCTCTGTTTCCTAAGACAGTGTGTTGTCTTAGTAAATTCATCCCTTCCTTGGGTGGCTAGATTCTCACATCTGGTGCACCCACCATTACACCTGAGTTCCCAGACTCAACATTTGTTGTAACTTGTCTGAACCACTTCACTACATCACACACCTGATTGCTGCGTTGTGGAATAGTCTAAGCTATGACCCTTTGGCTCTGTTTTCTAAGACAGTGTGTTGTCTTAGTAAATTCATCCCTTCCTTGGGTGGCTAGATTCTCACATCTGGTGCACCCACCATTACATCGGTGGGGTTGTTGGCCAACGGTTTTTCCACCTCCTCGGTCGGCGCGAGTATGTTCTCTAGCGGCTCCTCGTCGATCGGCGCGGGGCCATTCTCCAGCAGCTCTTCGTCGGTCGGCGCAGGTATGTTCTCTAGCGGCTCCTCGTTGATCGGGAGTCATGAGGATGGTGAGTGCATCGAGTCCATGGCTAAGGCGGCGGCGATGTGCAATTTATGCACGGCAGCGATGGGAGCGGGGATGAGCCACTACAATTATGTGCATGGCAGGGGTATTAGCGAACGTAGGATCATTGTAGAGTATCTACTGATAAGCCCCTTATTGATTCATACTCTAATGAAATTTTAGTAAAGGCTCACTATTTGTATTGTTACACCCTCCCCTCTCTATAAGCGCCGCCCTAATAGTACAAATACTATCAAAGAGAACTCTCTTTCCCCTCCAGCGCCTCCAGCGCCTTCCTCGCTTTTACCACCGCCTCCTTCGCCTCCCTCACCCCCTCCCCCACAACAACCCCCCCTCCCTCACCTCCCCCCTCCTCAGCACCCCCCCCATAACGCCCTCAACCCCCCTAACCGCCTTCCTCCCCTCCTCCCTAACCTCTCTCTCCCACCACCCCCTCCCCCCTCCCACCCCCCCTGCATGCGCCGCAGCGCCCACACCGTCCCCAGCGCCGCAACTGCACCCGCCTCATAAATCCCCACACTAAGATTCGACACGTAAATCAGCCCCGCGAACGCGCCGCTGAAGGCTGTCGTGCCGAGCGTTTGGGCGACGAGTTTCTGCGCTAGAGCTTGTAGGCGCGGGACGCTGGAGGTGGCGATGTACGAGCGTGTTAGGGGGATGTGGAGGGGCCAGGGGTGCGCTTTTATAGCGGGCGTGGCGATGGGGCCATCGAGTGGAGTATCAATGACTGGAATCACGTCGCGGACGCGGCGTGCGGCAGCCTCGGGCTCGATGCCGAGGGGTACCTCCTCCTCCGGGTCACGTATCGGCGGCGCATCTTTATACGCCCAATTCGCCGACGACGGCTGCGGAGTCGTCGGCTCAGCAAGAACACCAGCGGCGTCAATCTTACCAGCGATGTAAATAACCTCCTGCTCCGCACCAGTGAGGAAGCGCGATGCAAGAATGTCAGAGGTAATAGCCGACACGTCGTCAACGCGCCAGAACAGCTTCCACCACGCCAGCGCGCGCCAGCGCCGGCCTGAGAAAGCGAGGTCGAGTTGATCGCGTAGCTCGGTGTGCGCGCCCTCTGCCCACTCGTCCAGGTCGCGCTGGAGAGATTGCGTGGTGGATGGTGAGACCCTCGCTGAGAGCGCGGCGGATAGGGCGGAGGCTTCGCGGCAGTGGATTTTTTCTTCGGTAGAGGAGAGGAGAGAGCGGATGAGTGCGTGGACTGGTGGTTTTAGCGAAGAGGAGGTGGTGGATGAGCTCGAGCCGGAGATGACCCAGTCGCGGAGGGTGGGCAGGCCGGAGGCGGACCATTGTTGTTCGTATTTCAAAGCATTGCCAACGTTTTCGCGGAAGGATCTTAGGGCTGCGGTGCCGAGGGATACGTCGACGGAGTGGAATTGCGTGGTCGCGGCTGTGTCGTGGATGCTGGATGGGAGATCGACGGCGGTTTGGATGAGATCCGCTTCCATGGATGGGAGGCGGAGGAGTGATGCTGCGCCGAGGATGCCGTCGCCTACTATGAGGGCCTTGTGCACTGGTGCTGTTATGGGGGAGTAATGCGCGCCGAACGAGGCGGGGATCTGGATATTGGGAACCAGCACGTTCTCTGCGAGTTCCGCGGTCCCCTCCTCGGATTCCATCAACACATCTCCGTCGATAACCAGAATCTCGAGGTAATGATCCTTCAACATCGCCGAAGAGATCTGCACTTCCTTCAGTAGCCGATTCTTGAAGGCCCCCCCACCCTCGACATTCCCGCCTGACCGGTGGCTGATTCGTAATAACACCGGATCCTCCGTCGCCGTCAGACTCCTCTCCCACTCCTCCTCCGCCTTCAACGGATCCGCAAGTAGCAACCGTATAAGCTCCCTACTCTTCGCTGTAGACTTTCCCTGCCCCGCTAGCGCAATGACAGCAACGCGTATAACTTCCTGCCCAACCCTTTGCGCGACACCGCGTTGCGCCAGCCGCAACCGCGGGAGGTTGACATACCCAACGGCCTGCTTCTCGAGGTCGCTCAGGGCTTTCTCAAGCTCAGCAACAACTTGTTTCGGAGTAAGTGGCTTAGCCTCCCCATCCCCCTCCACCACCACAGTCGCAGTAGAGAGTTGTCGTCGCGCCCGCGGAATCGACGCAGCGGCGGTGGTCCCGACCTGCTCCCGCCGACACGGTACCTGTTTCCCAGCAGCTGCTGGCGCGGCATTGAATTGGCAGAGTAAACATTTCGACGTCTTTGGCAGCAGGGAATTGGTGCGCGCGAGTCGCAGTCGCCCGGGGGCTAGCCGTGGAAGTCGTGGCGGCATTTGTGGTTGTGCTAGGCGGGAGGAATCGCGATGGAGCAGGAAGCTTAGGTGAGGTCGGCGGCGGCTAGCGAAATAAACTTCAGCGGCTCGTTAACGTAGCCTTGTGTGTGCAGCCGTGTTTGACGGCCGTGTTTGATGGCGAGAGACAAGACAATAATATAATGCGATTGTCACCGAAACAGCCAGTTAAATAAATTACCGAACTAATTACTGGATACTTTCTTTCTATACAGAGCAAATATACGTATAAACATACTACTCATCACCCCTCCCCCTCATCACCCCCTCCCCCTCATCACCCCGTCCCCCTCATCACCCCCTAATCACCCCTCATCACCCCCTCCCCCTCCACCTCCCCCTCCCAACCCTACCGCATCACCAACCCCCCAAACGCCCTATCCATCTCCTGCCCCTCCCTCATAACCCTATCCGACAAACTCTCTCCCAACCCATCCCCCTCCTTCTCACTATCCATTATACTCACCCCCCCCCCACATCTCGCCGCCCTCTGCGCCGGCTCCAAAATCCTCGCCTCACTATCCAACCACCCCGGCGCAACCCTCCTCTTCTCCGCCAACTCCCTCGCCCGTATCCCCTCCTCCCACCCCCTCAGCTCGCGGTCCGCATCATCTTGTACTTTCGCGATGTACGCCTGCAGCGCTTTGCACGACGCGAGGATCTCGTCGGGGTGTGCGGCGTGCCCGGCGGCTGAGACGACGTATTGTGGTTTTGAGTCGGCAGCGCCGGCGGTGGATGTTGTGGCGGTGGAGGAGCGGGGGAGGGTGGAGGGGAGGGTCTTGTAGGTGTAGGGGAGGGTGGTGGCGGTGGGGAGGGAGATGAAGGGGGAGACTGTGAGGGGGACTTGGGCGAGTAGTGGGTGTGCTTCTGGGGGGGGGGGAGGGTGTCAGTGTATTGTCTGGACGTAGCTGGGTTGGGGGGGGGGGGGGTTGGAGGGGATGGGCGCTCACTGTTGTCGTTCATCTTGATCAAGACCATGGTAGTTTGATCCGTATGATGTTCTGTATGATCTGTATATTGAGAGTATATTGAGGAGTATATTGATCCCTACCATCTGTATATTGAGAGTATATTGAGGAGTATATTGATCCCCAGATCTGTATATTGACGAGTATATTGACGAGTACTATCAATCCCCCCTCCATCTTCTATCACGTGATATGGACATCGGCTGTTTTGGGTTCTGTCCGCCGACCAATCACAGCCATCCATTCACCAACGCTGAGCCCTTGGACAGTAGTCCTGTGTATCTCTACTTGCTCTGCTCGACTCCTCCCTTGTTATCTGACCTTGTGCCTCACCTAAACCAAGTACTGCTACTTACCTCATTGCGCCCAAGTACCTCTTCCGCCTCTTCTGCCTCTTCTGCCTCTTCTGCCTCTTCTGCCTCTTCTGCCTCTTCTGCCTCTTCTGCCTCTTCTGTTCCGCCTCCTCCGCCTCTTCCGCCTCTTCTGCCTCTTCCACCTCCTCCACCTCCACCTTTTCTGCCTCTTCCACCTGTTCCACCTCTCCTCCTCTTTCACTATCTATCTCCAACTTCAACTTCTGCATTGATTGCAGACTACGATTCAACTTACCATCACTTTTAACGATCATCTACGATCATCTACGATCAAACGACTCTGAAGATATACGACTCTGAAGATATACGACTCTGAAGATATACGACCTAATTTAACGTGTCACGGTCTGATTTGCGCCTTCATCGATAACTTAGTCCTCATATCTGCTGTCGCTAATAACAAAGTACAACGAATCCCACAAACACCTCGTTCTGCCCCTCAAAATCCGAGACGCTTACCCTCATCTCACCCCAGATCCCTGCGACAAGACCACAACTTTCCACACGAAAACACACCACCTTCTCATACCCGTGGCACACGACTTACCACGCTCTCCTCACCACCTACCTTCCTCGGAGCGATAGATTCATAGGAAAAGGGACTTCATTCCCAAGGGATCTGCAGCCATGGATGATACCGAGCCCGTCGCCGGAGCGCTGCCTGGCGCGGACAGAGCCCAGATTGACAATGCCATCCGCGCACTGAGCGAGAAGAAGCCCATCCCGGAAATTGACTTCACACTGCACACCATGGAGGACGGGAGCCAGGTCAGCACCCTAGAGAGAGTCTGCAAAGGTATGGACTACAATAAGTGACGAGCCGAGACACACGAGACGCTTTGGCTAACATGTGCGACAGACGTCCAAGCACCCGCGATGCGCCCGCCGACCGACGACCAATTCTTCTCCAAGGAGGACCCCGCGAAGCCGGATCTGGCTTTCCTGAAGCAGCACTTTTACAGAGAGGGACGCCTTACGGAGGAGCAGGCCCTGTATATTATCAATGAGGGAACCAAGGTCCTCTCGAAGGAGCCCAATCTCCTCGAGATGGATGCGCCGATTACCGTCTGCGGTGATGTCCACGGCCAATACTACGACTTAATGAAGCTGTTCGAGGTTGGCGGAGACCCTTCGGACACCAGATACCTGTTCCTCGGTGACTACGTCGATCGCGGCAACTTCAGTATAGAGTGCGTTCTGTACCTCTGGTCGCTGAAGATCTGGTACCCCAACACCTTGTGGCTCCTGCGCGGAAACCACGAGTGCAGACATTTGACCGATTACTTCACCTTCAAGCTCGAGTGCAAGCACAAGTACTCCGAGAACCTATACGAGGCCTGCATGGACTCTTTCTGCGCCCTGCCCCTGGCTGCGGTCATGAACAAGCAGTTCCTCTGTATTCACGGTGGACTGAGCCCCGAATTACATACCCTCGATGACCTCAAGAGTGTAAGTGAACACGCGATACCATGCCTGACGCCCATACTAACTTTCCAAGATCGATCGTTTCCGCGAGCCCCCGACTCAAGGCCTGATGTGCGACATTCTCTGGGCGGATCCCCTCGAGGAGTTCGGCCAAGAGAAGACCTCTGAATACTTCATCCACAACCACGTTCGCGGATGCTCCTACTTCTTCTCATACCCCGCCGCCTGCAACTTCCTCGAGAAGAACAACCTCCTCTCCATCATCCGCGCGCACGAAGCCCAAGACGCCGGATACCGCATGTACCGCAAGACGCGCACGACCGGCTTCCCCTCGGTGATGACCATCTTCTCCGCGCCCAACTACCTCGACGTCTACAACAACAAGGCCGCGGTCCTCAAGTACGAGAACAACGTCATGAACATCCGCCAGTTCAACTGCACCCCGCACCCCTACTGGCTCCCCAACTTCATGGACGTCTTCACCTGGTCCCTCCCCTTCGTCGGCGAGAAAATCACAGACATGCTCATCGCTATCCTCAGCACCTGCTCCGAAGACGAACTCAAGGAAGAATCATCCGCCTCCACCCCCCCCCCCATCTCCTCCCCCACCTCCGAAGGCGGCACCGTGGCCGTCTCCACCCCCCTCCCCCCCACAGACCCAGAGAGCATCGAATACAAGCGCCGCGCCATCAAGAACAAGATCCTCGCCATCGGCCGCCTCTCCCGCGTCTTCCAAGTCCTCCGCGAGGAATCCGAGCGCGTCACCGAGCTCAAGACGGCCTCCGGCGGGCGTCTGCCGGCTGGTACGCTCATGCTCGGCGCCGAGGGGATCAAGAATGCGATTAATAGCTTTGAGGACGCGAGGAAGGTGGATATCCAGAATGAGCGCTTGCCGCCGAGCCAGGAGGAGGTGACGAGGCAGAGTATTGAGGGGAGGGCGGCCGCGATTGATAGGGCGGTGCATGAGGCGGATAATGATACGGCGTTGCAAACGCTGTCGAGGAGGTTGAGCACGTGAGTTTCCTTCTTCTGGAGAGTGGTGGGGTAATAGAGAAAAAGACTAATGTTGTTGTAGGGACCGTAAGCGCAGAAGCGGATAGATGCGTGAAGGGAACGGAGGAGCGTCTTATCTCCCATCCCTCATCCTGATAGTGTGAGGGATGGCGACTGTAGGATTCTTTGCGGGTGGTTTGAGGGAGTGGTTGGGTTGGGAGAAGGGAGAGGGAGGGAGGTGTACGGGAGACATGCAAATGCATATGCAGCGATACCACATATGTAGACGGGGAAATGTGCAGTATACAGACTACGAAACTATTATGCAATAATAGTTTCGTAGTCTGGTGGATGGTGCTGAATAGGGAGGGATGGATGGATGGGGTGTTTAATGCTATAGTGGGCTGAATAGGTAGTAATCACCTTCCATGCCCTTCCCCTTTTGTATATATGGTAACTTGAATTCGTACATCGCGCCTGAGCCACCCCGGGCCGGGGATTGGGACGTGGATATGCAGGTGTCGCTCGTTCATACTTAGTGAGGGCGTAGAAAAGCCGTGGTAAAGGACATACGTCAGTTGGGCAGGAGCTATGGTAAAACATTGGGAAGGTGCAATGGCCAGAAGATTGAATAGAGCCGGGAAGGAGCTATCAGCGGGAAGGGATAGATCTGGGAAGGAGCTATTGTGAAATATCACCTAGTGGTGGAAGGTGCTTTCCTCTGGTCGCTCTTGCCACTTTTCGACACCCATTCGACACCCAGCCCATACAATATGCGACACGTTCCTCCACATAGCCCCGTACAGGATAGACGTGAACATCATCACAAATGCCTTCTTCGCCATGGTCGACCTACGAGGATCCCCCGACAACGATCTAGTATGCGCCCTCAAGGCCGCCTTCCTCAAAGCATACAACCCCCTCCAAGACCAGATCCTCAGCATCACATCCATCCACACCTCCGACCCAACCCCGCGCTTCAAAGGCATCATCCGCGCCCACGACATCTCCACACGCCATTCGCCTTCACTTGGATCTGGTTTGTAATTCGGAGCTGTTTGATGATCATGTTGTGAGAATGACGTCGGATATGCCGTCGACGATGGCGCATCATATCACTTATTTGGGCATGGCCATGTTTCAGCGCGGGCTTTCCGAGAAGGAGGGGAAGGATGCGATGAACAAGTGCGAGGAGTGTAAGTTGTAGCTCTTCAATCCCGTGCTGTTTGTGGAGAGGAGAGGATGCTGATAAGGCCTCTTTGTTATAGTGCGTGATGTATTAAAGGAAATTGTGCTCAAACACCCTCTTGCGGGGAGGATTGTGAGGCATGCTGACGTTATCAAGAGTCTAGAGAGCTGCTTTGGATGAGTGTGAGACTGATAGTGGTGGCGAGGGAGTGTACTGAATCGATTACTCGTGGGCACCTTTCCTAGACGAGGCTACTTGTGCTGATAGGGGCTTAGCGGGGAGTACTGGATATGTCAGTTGGATGCACTGGATCAATATTGGGCGTTGGGTATTGGAAAGGCCTCTTTGAGATGATAAGACAAAAGTCTATACAAGGGCGTTTCAATAATCTATCTTCTGTTTGGTTTTAAGCTCTGAATACGGCTCATAATGGATATCCAGCCTACCAGGTGAGAACTCCTACCTATGCATCGCTCGAGTCCGTGAAATATTCAAACCCAGCCGGCTCCTCCGCAACCTCCCCATCGCCATCTACAGCACCATCAGCATCACCTCCCTCCCCTGCCGCCTCCGCACTCCCACCCACCCCTCCAACCCCCCTCTCCCTCGTCGAACCCAACAACCCCCCCACCATCTCTGCCCACTCCCACGGACTCTCCGTCCCCCCCGGCACAGCATTAAAGTACTCCCACCCCATCACCCCCCCCACCCCGTCCCCAACCACTCCGTAACCCCCATCAGCGTCTCCGCAAAAACCCCCATCTCCACAAACCCCGCCCCATTCCCCTGATTCGTCACAACCCCCATCACCACCTTCCTCGGATCCCACCCCCCTCCTCCTTCCCCCACCACCAACCGCAAATACCCAGTCGGCGTCCGCACATCCCCCCACCCACAGTAAAACTGCGCATTATACCATGCGATCTCGCTTCCCCTCTCTGACTCCAAATCCGCATAATCAAACCCACTCAGATTAGCCCTCGGATCGCGCGTCGCCAGCGCCGTCGCCACAGGTGCAAGGGTAATGATAAACCCGCCCCCGAAATCCGAACGTAAGCGATCAATGAGCCGAATCACCCCAGACAGCGACATTTTCTCTTCCACATCCAGGTCCAGCCCGTCCAGCTGCTCCGAACGGATAAAAGCATACAAAAGCATATAGTACCTCTTGAACTCCCCCTCCTCCCCATCAAGCACCTTGAATGACCCCTGCGCTGCCCCACCGAGCATACCGAGGACCTTGATTCCCCCTTGCTTCAGGGCGCGGAGCTCGGCGAAGAGAGTCTGGTTCCGTGGGTGCGAGGGCGCGTGGTCGTTGAGCGTCAAGTGCGGCGTGGTGGGGTGGCCGTTGAGGTGGATGGCGGCGAGGATGAGGTGCGTGAGCGGGGTTTCGAGGAGGGGTAGGAGCGGGACGTGGGCGCCGGAGGGGGTGTGGTGGGTTTGGTGGTAGAGGATTAGGCGGGGTGTCTGCGAGGTCTGCGAGGGGATAGGGGGCATGGCGGGCGGTTTGGCGGGGTAGTGAGCGTGGGGTGGGATTGGGTTTCTCAGGTTGGCAATGATGATCGATTTCTAGGTTCTCGTAGCGTGCATTGGGCTGATTTGGTCTGCATATAGGTAGTTGATGGTGGTTTGGGGTGGACGAGGCTGACAGATCTCTAGTTGGGGCAGGCGCGATATTAGATTAGATTAGATTAGATTAGATTAGATTAGATCTGTCGGTCAGTTTTGACGATGTGGGTCTCGGCTTGTTGGGAAAGGAAGGGGTAACCTGTGGTGGCATTTTCATGGCGAGTAAGGCGCGAATACGTCATTGCACAAGTGTTAAATATGTCTCGGAAATATAGTAAAGTTTGTTGGGTGGCGTATATTAAGGCGACTACAGAGAAATAAGAAAGTATGGGCTTCAGCAAGCTAGATTCATACGAAATAAATGCCTTCTTTCTTGAACCTATCATTATGATACAGCCGCATACTTGCTAAAGTTGACATGCTACTATATACTTGTGATCTGAAGGTGATGGCAAGGGAAACAAAAATCACCACAGCCATTCTACTCATCCAATGTACTCCATCATGAACGAGTGAATGAATCCCAATATAACCAATACGTATGCCAAACGGCAGTGCAGGCCCGACCTAAATGCCAGACAAATGCTGCGCTACCGTATGCTGCGCCCCGATAAGATGCCCCTCCCATCCAGACCGAAGGTGCTTCATATCTCATGTGTGATATAACGTATCGTCTATCTTTTGATCGCACGCACCCATTGTCAGGTAATCATAAAGGACTCAGTCCTATCAACCTTTCCTCCCCGACGCAAAATCATGCGCAGTAATCGGTGACTTGGGGCCTTCATTCCCTTTCCCGGGGATTGACCCACTACTCGATGTCGTCCCGACGGTACTGGAGCCATCCTTCGCCTTGCCTAGCTCAGGCGCTGTGGTCGAGGCTGTGTCGCGGAACTGTTGGAACTGCGCGCGTGTGTAGGAGAGCATGGTGTTGTTGTAGGAGGAGAGTGTTGTGGGCATGGCGAGGGTTGATGTCGAGGGGGCGGTTGTTGGTGTTGCGGTAGGCATTGTGAGGGGTTGTGTTTTGTAGTTTGGGGCTGTGGAGGTGGGTGGTTGGTTGTCAGAGTACTGAAGATTCCGGGGGGGATGAAGATGCTTAGATATCTTTTGAACGCCTCCCTACTCGGACTTGTATCGCCGATCGAAAAGGAGAAGCGTCTTACCCCAAACCCCAAAGGTGCAGATGTGCAAAAAGGTTGGCAATCTCGATCCACCTGTCTTGCTCGCAGTTATCGTCAAATCGTCTGTTTTTTCTTCTTCGCGGATTAAGAGACTCGGCCGTATCTTTCTGCTAAGCAAGTTTTGGTGATTAATACCTGCATGAGGCCGGGGATCTTCGCAGGGGATCTTCGCCGGGGATCTTCGCAGGCTTATAAGACGACCGCTCCGGCCCACTATCGCGTGGTTCTGACGTCGAGCGTGGCGCAGTTCACGTAGGCCTCGGCGGGCGGGGGAGGGGGCTGGGTGGTGGCGGCAAGTACACGGCCCCGACCGTCCTGGTTAGGCGATGGTGGCGGCAAGTACACGGCCCCCGACCGTCATGGCAAGGCGATGGTAGGTGAGATGGTGGTGGTGGGTGGCGGGGGGATGACGATAAGGAATCGTTAGTCACCTACCGTGCATACGGTAGGTGACTAACGATTCCTAGTGTGATGTTCCCCGCTGCGGAGAGAAAACTACGTATGCCAAGCCCTTCGCGTCGTCACTGATCCCTGCATCAGAAGTGGCTTTAGTGGGCATTAACAACCACTATTGGGTTTACCGGCTTTATCTTGTACTGGGAACTCCGTAGGGATATGATATTGGATGCTTCATACACGTAGCTGTCCACCGTAATGAGTTGCGTTTTCCCTGTCGCAGCCGCGTCTGTCTCGTCGGTGTCTCCGCTCTCTGTGAGGCTGTGGCGGAGTTAGATGAGCCGCTGTTGCAAGCTGCTTCTCGCTGTTGGAAAGATAAATCATAAAGCATTTCTACACTTCTACATACATCCCCATTCCTGTTCGGCTTAACGGCTCCCCATTTCTACGATCAAGCTTATCGCTGCTGGCCCTTTGATAATACCCGTTAGTCGTGGTAAAGAAAAGACGCACATATAAATCGTCCGCAACGCATCAGATATCCTGTTCTGGATACAAAGCGCGAAGAGGCCGACGACATGGTGACCCGAATACGGTTTAGCGGCAATGCTTCAGTTTGTTTTGTGGCAGGGCAGGAGCTACAGTCAAAACCTCGATCCTCAACCTCTTTTGTGCGATATTTTTCCACGGACCAATATTTTTACCATACAAAATACGATTCAACGATTATCATCTTTTCCAGCCTGTTTATTGTCTTAATGTATATTCCGACAGCCATTAGAATCACCCAAAATGCCTTGAAAAAGGCCGATTACAGTCGACGAGCAGTGTGCCTTTCAACACTGGGCCCACCAACAAGTTCCAAAGTGTCATGACACTCCTTCGATATTTGTGTCATGACCCTTCGATTCGCTTTAGTCTCTAGTACTTATTTCACTATGTCATTCGCTTCACCTGCTTCGCTCACTTCGCTCACTTCGCTTCACCTGCTTCGCTCACTTCGCTCACTTCGCTTCACTTGCTGACCTAGATCAGCCCAAAATGACTACTGGCTTAGGCTCTCTTGTTATTGGCCCGCTTCACTAGGGCTCGCTTAGCTAGGGTTCAGTTAATTAGTGCCTTCGCTTATTTGGCACTAGGGATTTTTACTGTTATATAAGCACTTATTGCTCATGTCTCTTATTGATCTTTAGCTAGCAAATTATACACTACTTGGCCTTCTTGCAATTCCTCCTGCTTCAACCTACTTTGCATTCTCTTACTTCGAGTCGAACCACTTGGCCAACCTGTTAGTCTCACCACTTGACCCCTATGGTATAAAGTATATGCTTTGGAGCCTGAACTACTATACCTTGTCCTACTGCTTCGAGTATCAAAGTCTTCACATTATACTTCGGATACTTCTGCAGACTCAAAGGTCAGCCTCGGTTCGAACTGTCCTTACACAAAGCCAACTCAGCGGCAGTTTATCGAATGGTTTGAATGACAGTATCATCACAAATTAAGCCAGTCGACTATTTCCAAATCACTAAGCAACTTTGAGGCCCTTGATAAGAACCAAGACACTAGAATCCAATGCCGTCGATGTAAGGATGCCTCCCTCAGTGACAGAAAGGGTCTGAGTCAGACAGGTTACGGTCACATGATGAGAGTTTAAGGCAGGTTAGCCGAGTCAGACCCATTTCAGGTACTTAAAAGGATTGACCCAATGGGTCCCTCTCCCTCAGTGACAGAAGGTATCTGAGTCGGACAGGTTATGGTCACGTGGTGAGAGTTAAGGCAGGTTAGCTGAGTCGGACCTGTTTCAGGTATTTAAGGGATTGACCCAACAGGGTTCCTCTCCTCATCTTTTTTGTATCCTTTGTAGTAGACTATAGGATAGCATCCGTTTAGCCTCCGACTCACACTCTCATATGCTATTACTGTGAGCTGGGTGCCCTGTGTCCTTACAGTTGACTAGGCCAGTAGCCAAAGCTAGAGGAAATCCTTTGGGAGTGGCAGATTCAGATTGAAGAAAAGGGAGGCTTTACAACTGGCGATATACTACAGCAGAAGGCACAGCAGATCTGGAAACGACTGCCAGAATATACTGGCCAAGAGTGCCCATCGTTTTCTACTGGCTGGCTCGAAAAATTCAAAAAGCGACATCATATACAATCACGACAACGGTTTGGAGAGGCAGCATCAGTTCTGGAAAATGTTGAGGAAGAAATGAGGGCACTACAGACAATAGCAAGGGAGTTTCAAGAAGAGGATATATACAATATGGACGAAACTAGACTCTTCTGGAAGATGATGCCATCACATGGCCTCTCATCACAGCTCCAATCTGGTGTTAAGAAGAATAAGACTCGGATCTCCCTGGTTTTCTGCGTCAACACTACTGGAACAGACTGACTCCCTGTTTGGGCAATTGGCCATGCAAAAGCACCTTGAGCATTACAACAAATTAATATACCAACAATGGGGGCACAATGGAAAGCAAACAAGAAGGCTTGGATGACTGGAATACTTATGAGTGAATGGCTTCAAGCCTTTTATCGGCATATTGGAACTACTCGGCAAATACTCTTAACGATAGATGGCTTTTCAGCACACTATACTGGGGCTGAGCTCAACCCTCCTCCCCCTAATATCCGCATTTGCTGGCTTCCAGCTAACAGTACCAGTCGTTTCCAGCCTCTTGATCAAGAAATTATTCAAAATGTTAAAGCTTATTATCGACAACATTGGCTTCAGTTTATAATTGACACTATTGTTACGACGGAACAAGAAGGCTGGCCAACTACAGGACAGGAAGGAGGGAGGTCGCATGAGACCGGCCCTGGTACCTGGAGGGGCAGCGGGGAATAGTAGTTCCGAAAGTATCACGTGATGGACTCGCAGGATGATGAGAAGAGTCCTAAGAGTCCAGGACTCCGAGGACTCGAGTGAGTTCCCAGGAGTCCACTAGGCACGTGACGGACTCGCAGGATGATGAGAAGAGTCCTAAGAGTCCAGGACTCCGAGGACTCGAGTGAGTTCCCAAGAGTCCACTAGGCACGACGCCACTATATAAGTAGATAGTATTTCCTTAGATAGGAGCTTCGTGCTCAACTCAATACAGTATTTGTTATATACTAGTAACGTGTTACTTGAAGCCTTTGTGTCTGATCCCCTGCCTCCTCTGATAAGTAAACCTTTATGCAAGAGAACCTCTGTGTCTTCTATCGTTTAGAAGTCAGCGTTACACTTTGAGCACCACTTCTACGAGGTACCGGCTTACACACAAAGCAACATGTCTGTCGTCAGTTCGAAGGGGAAAACCCCCACCACGCCAACTTCGTCTCAGAGGTCTAAGCCTGAGAATGAAGAGATGCCCGATGCACCCACTGTCAACGAACTCAAGGAAACTCTACGCGTCAAGTTGCCCGACACTTACTCCGGCAACTGAAAGGAACTTGAGGTGTTTTTGCTACAGGTCGAACTGTACCAGCACTTCAATGACGAGAAGTTTCCCACCCAGGAGAGCTATGCCCTGTGGACTGCATCCTACCTTAGGGGGGAAGCCCTGCGATGGATCGAACCATTCCTCAAGGACTATTTCAAATATGAAAGTACCAATGGAAGCATGACAACTACGCAGACTATGTTTGGCAGCTGGAATGGATTCTGTAAGGAAATCCGACGCATGTTCGGAGACATCGATGAGATTAAGACCGCAGAAGACCATCTGTTTGCACTTAAGCAGACTGGCAGCGCCCTCACATACTCCACAGAATTCCAGAGATACGGCAATCAGACAGGATGGGACGCCAGCGCACTCATCAGCCACTACCGACGTGGGCTGAAGAGCCATATACGTATGGAACTTGCCCGTTTGGAACAACAACCAACGGACATGGTAGCGCTAATCGAACATACGGTCCGAATCGACAATCGACTATACGAATTCCAGAAGGAACGTCGGACCTATGACAAGCCCAAGAAAAGTTACCCCTACCGGGGAAACGAGGGCAGACGACGGGATCAACACCCGCAAGACAACCGTTGGTCGGACCCAATGGAACTCGATGCCACGTTCAAACCTGGACGACCCCGTGACCCTAAGAAAGACAGACAATTCAAGGAAAGACTCTGTTTTAACTGCGACAAGCCAGGCCACATGGCCCGAGACTGCAGACAGCCAAAGAAAGGGAACGGCGGATGCAAAGTCGGCAAACAACTCAATGCCACCTGGACAGGACAGTTGAATGCAACGTTTGTGAGCAAACAGGACTGGGGAATAAACGGCGAAAGCACCCCAGAAGACGAGAGCTCAGATGAAGGGTCGGAGGCGGAATCGTTCACCGTCTCGGAACAGGAGACCTTCGATGAACTCGCACCTACGGAACCAATGAGTCCACGGTGCAAGAACGTAGTAAGACGCATGGCAAAACACGCCCACGCGAAGATTAGGGCCGAACGAGACAAGCCCAATGACCAGAGGAGAATCCCCATGCTTAAAGACCTCTACGGGAACCTGTTACAGGAACTTCCGTTAAAGTGCAAGGTGGACGACTGCAAGGATGACCTCTGGAGATACTACGACCAACTAACGAATACCCGCAGGCTGCTTGGCACGTCCCAAGACGTAGCTAAGTTGGAAGCCCAAGAAGCGGAAGAACTGGAGAAGGATGTCGAGCATATGGCTAAACTGAAGTATATGAAAAGCGTCGAACTTTACTACCAGGACCGCAGGAGAGCCCTGAAGAAGTACGACGAGAAAGCCAGAGATATGCTCTGACGGGAAAATGCGAGACCCACTCCATGCATCGAAAGGAGAGCCATGGAGCAACTAGACACGTTC